TACATGGACAACAGAGTTCTTCTGGACATGATTCTTATGAATATAGACAGACATTTTTTTGAGGGTCATGGAAAATAGGTAGTGGGTCTATGAAATCAGTTATTGTTTTTGAAGAAAGTGTTTTCCTTAGAGTCTTATTTGATCTGTGCTATAATGATTTATGCTTTTTTTTTTTTTACTAAAGCAGTGTTCCATTTGTAACTTAAAAATATTTTCACATAATTACCTCAAATATGTATTTTGTGAAACATGGTCCAAAGTATAAATAAGTAAATTGTTGTATACTCAACTCAGACTCTTTATGTATCAGACTTTTATTGGGTTTTGCAAATATTTATTAATTTAAAAATAATACTTCAGCCTCTGGGAATTTCATATTAATTGTAAATTAAATGGACAGGTTAAGCCACAATTAAAAATTTAGTGGCGAAATCAGCATTTATATAAAGGAAATCTGTAGGTTACAGCTAGAACTCTTACTCATTTTGTTTATTTTAGGTAGAGAGCTTAGTACTAAAACATGCTTTCTAGGCTCCTTCTTCCTCACTATTCTTTTACTAAATATAAAATAAAAATGCAGTTTCTTCAGTTTGGGAGGTTTCAGGATTTTGTGGAGTATTTCCCAGGTAGCTGAGGTGTGTTGCATCCATCCCTTTGGGCCCCTGCTTAGACTTGCCCATCACCTGTGTCCTATTAAAAATGAGCATTATCTGCTATTCTGTTAAATTGTTCATTAGCTGTGAGGATATTATCGATAGTTGTGGTAATAAAGATTTATTGAGTGCCAAAAGTAAGAGTGGAGTTATACTTTTGAATGGTTTTTGAGGTCCTTTTATAAAAAAGTTACTTTGCTCTCATCCATTTCTTGCACATAAATTTTATGGGACCTCACATTAATTTTCTGTTGCTGCCATAACAAATTACCACAAGTGACGTGGCTTAAAACAACCCAAGTTTACCATCTGGCAGTTTTGTAGGTCCGAAGTCTAATGTGGATTTCATGGGCTAAAATCACCGTGTCAGCAGGGCTGCCTTCCTTTCTGGTGGCTTTAGGGAAGAATCTGTGTCCTTGCCATTCCCAGCTTCCAGAGACCACCTCTATTCCTGGCTCACGGCCCTCACCCTCCGTCTTCAAAGCAGGGAACAGTGTTGGTGTTTGAATTTCTCCAGTCTCTTCCCATCTCAGTCAGATGCAGTGGGAAAGGGAAAAGTTTCCGTTTTCAAGGATTCAGTGTGATTAGACTGGGCACACCTGGATGTTCAGAACACTCTCCCCATTTTGAGGTCTTTCACCTTAATGACATCTGCAAAGTCCTTTTTGCCGTGTAGATGTAGACGCTTTTGGGAAGCCATCATTCTGCCTACCACAGAACCCAAACATCTTTATAGAATATTATTTCACTAATTTAAAACTTTTATGGCTAAAAGATTATAGGTGTGATTTGAATTAACACTGAGAAAATATATCACCCTCTAGTTCTGTCGTCTTAGCTTCAAACTCTTAACTGCAATTACCTGATGAACATATTTTTAAAAGATATTTTGTAAGTGCCTTGTTAGCTTTTGCTGTATAATGAACCACCCCATAATTATTTGTCGATGCCCACACATCCATGGATCAGCTGATCTAAGCTAGGTTTGGATGGGTGTCGCTGATGATCTTGGCTGAGCAAACTGCATCTGTGAGTAGGCAGGTCAGGTGCCAGTTGTCTAATCTAGCCTGGGGCTCTGTGGGGGCTGTTCTGTTTCTCGAGTCTCATCTTCCCACTTTTGGGTTAGCCCAGGCATGTTCTTATGAAAATGGCAGAAATACAAAAATATAAGTGGAAACACATGATGCCTCTTGTAACCTAAGCTTAGAGCAGAAGAGCTGTCACTTTTGCTTTATTCTATTGGCCAAACTAGTCACATGGCCATAATGGGAAATAGATATACTTCACCTCTTTAAATGGGAGGAACTTAGCAAAGGGACTTGAATGGAGAAAGGGAGGTAAAAAATAATATAAACGGAGCCACTTTATTTATTTTTTAAGTCTCACTTGAGGATAATGTTCATTTATTTTAGAGAGAGTGGGGAGAGTGGGTGTGTTGCAGCTGTTCAGGGCCAGACAGGTTCATGGGATTTGTGTATATGGAAGAATAGTCACAGAGCCATTGGGATGTCTGACATACCTTCATTCAAGGGTGGATGATCCACGCACACTGCAAGCTGTGTGTCATACTGCATGTCTCCTGTCCCCTCTGTCTGGCATCCAGTTTGGGCCCTTGCAATTCCCCTATGTGTCTAAGTCTGTGCCCCCAGTGATAAGCCCCTAACTTCTTCTGCACCAAAACAAACAAAACTGGCAGCATGCCAGCAGACCTTATGCAACAAACCTTCACACCGTGCACGCGAGCCCACTCCAAGCTATGGGAACAGTTTATCGGACCCAGACTTAGGGCTATGAGACCTAGTCTCAAGGCTGTGAGAACACTACCTTATCAGACCCCTTCAAAGTTGTGAGAAACTGTTTCCCTTAGTTACCCAGACACCTGGGTGAGGAAGCCAGACTGCCTCCAATTACCTTACAGGAAAGGAAGGAAAGCTGGGGTCGGGGGGGGGGGGCGGGGAACAGGGAAGGAGGGAGAGAAAGAGAGGGAAAGAAAGAAAGAGGAGAAAGAAATATCACTCGTTCATGGACAGAACCAGCGGGGAAGGGCTGAGGGAGGGAAGGTGGGAGGGAGCAGGGGAAAGAGGTGGGGGGGAGGCAGAGACAAATGTATTTTAAAAGTAAATAAATTAAAAAAAAAAAATATCACTCGCCTCTGGCACATACTCTTACTTGGGATGGAACCCGTGACCTTTTGGTGTACGGGAGGATTCTCCAACCAAGCCACCTGGCCAGGGCAAAATGGAGTTGAAGCTGCCATCCCAGAGGAACTTGCCTTGCAGGTCTACTCTTCAGACCTCTGGAATGTTAAAACTGGGCAAAATAACCTTTAGACTGGGCCTAAAGCAACCTTGTATCCCAAACTGCTGTTTGCAAAGATAACAAGAAAGCAGATAATAGGGCTATGACTATTTGGGTTTCTGCCTGGGTCATTCTTTCCAGACCGGTTATTTGTTTGGATCTCAAATAAATGCTTGCTGCCCCTCTCTCACTTTGGCCTTTTAGTTTAGGTTAACAGGGATAAAGAATTGGGGCCAATGATGCAGCTAACCCCACGCTCACCTCTTTGTTGCCCCAAACTGAACTCATCTCAGCGACTACCTTCCTGTTTTGCTTTATTCGTGGTCTTAGTTAATGATACTACTCTATGCCTCATCACCTAAGAAACCTAAGAAGTCTTCTAGAATCTTCTCTTTCCCATTTTCCTGTATTCAGTATTTATCTTGTAAATGGCTTTCTAATCTTTCATCTCCTGTAGACTCTTACCCTCACTGTTCTGATTTAGGCTGCCGTATCTCCTTGAGAAGAAAGGGAGGAAATAGTCTCTTCCTTGTCTGCAATTTAGCTTCCTTGAAATCTACTCTTTGTGTTGCAGCTGGAATACTATACTTGAAATACAGATGTCACCCTTGCTCAAGTGGCCTCTCATTCATTGCCTCTAGAGGATGCCCCCTGTTACTGAGATTCATCAGCTTCATCTTCTGTTCTTTCCTGTCTTCTGCTTTACTCTTTAGTTCGAGTCAGCAAAATATGGCCAGTGGGTCACAAAATTTGGTTCCTAGTCTACTTTTGTATGGTTCATGAATGAAGAATGGTTTCACATTTTTATGACTAGAAAAAAATAAAAAAAAAACCCCAGTGTTTTGTGACGCATGAAAATTATGAAATTTAAACCAGTGTTCATAAATTAAGTTTTATTGAAACACAGCTGTACTCATTGATTATTTTATAAGGCTGTTTTCACATTACCACTGCAAAGTTAACTCATTGAGACAAGAGACGATAAAATACTTGGTATCTGGTCCTTCACAGAAAAAGTTTGCCACCCTCTGCGCTAGTTAGGTAGAACTTATAAGAGCTCCCTTTGTGTACCATTCTATTTCATGCCTCAATACTTTTATGTTGTTTCTTTGCCTGGCTAACTCTATTTTTTAAATAATAGCTTTATAGAGATATACTTTACATATACAATTCACCCATTTAAAGTGTGCAATTCAGGGGTTTGTAGTATATTCACAGAGTTGTGCTACCATTGTCAACTCAATTTTAGAACGCTTTCATTACCTTCAAAACAACCCCATGCTCATTAGCAGTCACTCCTCATTTCCCTAATCCCCTCTCTTAGCCAACCACTAACTCTGCTTTCATCTCTACAGATGTGCCCATTCTTGATATTTCATATACATGGAATCATACAATATGTGGTATTTTATGACTGGCATCTTTCACTTACCATAATGTTTTTAAGGGTTATACATATTGTATCAGATCAGTATTTCATTCCTTCTCATAGCTGATTAATATACCATTGTATGGATATAATACATTTTATGTAACCATTGGTGAAGAGATGATGGACATCTGGTTTGTTTTTAGGTTTTAACTATAATGAGTAATGCTGTTATGAACCTTTGTGTACAAGTTTTTATGTGGCATGCGTTTTCATTTCTCTTAGGTATATACCTGGGCTAATTCTTTTTTATCTTTCAAGAATTGACTTTGGGGTCATGTCTTCCAAATCTGTTTCCTAGCCTCCTAGCAGTATTAAATGTTCATTCCTTACAATTCAACACTGGTAGTACTTAACACATTATATTGAAATTATCTGTTTGCGTGTTTATTCCTCTGAGTTTCTGGAGAGCAACATCAGTGCCTTATTTGACTTTGTATTGACTGCAAAGAATACAGACGTTCACTTAATATTTGTTGAACTAGAAAAACTATAAAGCAGTCTATACTTTAAAATGAAATAAACTTTTTGGTTATTTTCTTCTGTCTTAGGTTCCTGGGCTTTTTTTTTAAGTCTCTTGGAATATGTATGTATGATCTTGAATTTATCTTTTTTTCAAGGCCTGAAAAGAAAACAAGAAAAGGTACCAAAGAAAAAGCATCAGATGAAAAAAAAAATGAGATAGAAAAAATAAAGTCATACCCCTTTATGGAAGGTGAACCTGAGGATGACGTCTACCTAAAGCGCTTATATCCAAGGCAGATATACGAAGTGGAGAAAGCTATTCATTTGCTTAAAAAATTTCAAATTCTGGACTTTACGAATCCAGCACAAGGTGTCTATCTTGATTTGACACTGGATATGGAACTGGGGAAAAAGGTATATAGACTCAATTAAAATGAATTTATTTGTGAACAATGGCTGTATAAATTGTCATTTCTTAATTTTTTTAAACACTTGCCTTTAATAATAATTTTTAGAAAAACTTTTGTTCTTTCTGTATTTTAGCATGAAAAATATATTTGTTTTTTAACTTTCCAAATATAAAATAGAATGTTAAGCATACTCTGCATGGTTGATGAGATATATGTCCTATTTAGCAGAAAATCATTGGTACAGATTTCAACAATAGTAGTAGTAAAGTTAAATGAGGTATTACTGTAACTTTGAAAAATTACTTAAGCTGCCTGGATGTCATACTCCTTCTCTGTAAATGAGGATTTTGGATTAGCTGAGTGGCCTTCAGAGATTTCCTTGGAGTTTGCATGGCTGGGGTGCCAGACCCCCTAGTTGCTTCAATCAGAATCTTTCTGTTTTATCTGTTTTTATATTGTAGTTCCATGGAAGACTTTTGTTTATTAAACTCTAAAAGTAGGAAACACACTAGATTAGAATTGATGTCCATTATAGCTCTCAATTTTGCAAGTCTCATTTAAGAAATGTGACTTTTTTGGAAATGATATTTAAATTCTTATTCTCAGGGTATCTTTTTTGGTCAAACTAGAAGGTATAAGTTTTTGAGTGCAGTTGAACAACCTCAACAATAACAACAGTAACTGAGCGTGCGGGAGGGGGCAGGAGAGACATGCTTAAGAGCGTGGGCTCTGGGGCCAGGTTTCAGGCAGCACAGGCCAGCATCCTGATGTCACCGTGTATTCCTGGGCTTCTGGTGTAACCTCTTCAAAGCTCAGTTTCTTCATCTCTTTAAAAAAGGAGATAAAAGGCTTCGTTCAAATGGTTATAGCAAAGATTAAATGAGATAATGCATGTAAAGGACTTGGTGGGTGTTTAATAATAATAACAATGAACATTTACTGGAAACATGTATCAGCCACAATACTAAATGCTTTGCATGCATTTTCTCATTTTACCCTATAATAATCTCAGAAGAAGTAGCTGAGACACAAAAAGTGAAGTAATTTGCTTAAGGTCACAGAACAGGAGTTAGAGTTAGGATTTGAACCATCTGTCTTCTTAGTTTTTGTTAGAAACAGCTTATACTAGCTTTGTTATAATTTTATTTTATACCACAGTTTTACTGTTAGTTTATTTATTTCAGAAATGTTGTGATGTTCAAGATCACTTTCTCAGTCAACCATTAATGTGTTTCTTAAAGATGTCTTGTAGGACTACAAGTTTCATTTCATACATGGAAGTCACTTTAAACTAGATACATTGAAAGGGTACTGTTGTCTTCCTAAGACATTTTTTGTTCTGGGTAGACTGCTTGTACAAGCCAGTATGCCCCAGGGGATGCCATTATTATGATTGCTTGCCATTAAAAATTTACTGAAACCAGTTGTGACATGTTAATGGCAAAGGAATGCCAGTGAATAAAACTGAGTTGCATGTCTGATAGAAAATGTGCTTAAGAGTTTGTGTCTCTTGTCTGAAAAGAAATCCTCAGGAGGTTATTTCTACTCAAAATAAACTAAAAATACAATTTTTCAGTTTTATTTAGGGAACAACCCCTTTTCCCTTTTTTCCAGACCTTATAACTGCACCAAAACTATGGACCCAGGAACTCATTTCCATGGGAAATTTTCCTAAGAGATCTGAGGCACAGGCCTAGACAGGACCTTGACCAAGTGACTGAACAAATTAGTTCTGAGGACCTGTAGAATATCCACCCATATTAGCGTGCCTCAAGTGCATGCGACTGTTTAGTTTAGATTTTCCAATTCTCTTCCTAAATATATCTGAAAATATAGGTGGGTTAGATTGTTCCAAAATAAACCCACTCGAAGAGCCTTTTAGGCTTAGCATTCTGTCCTAGATTTAGAGTTAATAGCACTGGATTGTTGAGATTAGAGGTGACCCACTGGGCTCATCGGCTAGATATTATATATTATTCAGTATACACAGTTACTTTTATGTCCTCCTTGACGATGTCAAAGGATTACATTTTCTAGGAGGAAGGGAGAGAAACATTGAATTGTTGTTCCACTTATCCATGCATTCATTGGTTGATTCCTGTATGTGCCCTGACTGGGGATCAAACCTGCAACCTTGGCATGTTGGGATGACACTCCAACCAACTGAGCTACCTGGCCAGGGCTAAATGTTTTTAAATTTAATTCAAGGTGGCAAATATTTATTGGCATCCACGTGGAAAGCATTGTAGTAGGTGCTGGGGAAGATAGGGATATGCAAACAGATCTCTTAATATATGAGAGACTGTGATGAATGATGTAGAGATAGAAGCCAAGTACCATAGAGTATGGAGCTGGGAAGTGGGATTTAGATTTTCATTCATTATGGTTTCTTACAAAAGAAATATAATCTCATGTCTTAAATTATAATCAGTGCATGGTTCTTGATTGATGAGAGGATATATGGTAGAATTAAAACATTAAAAACAAAATATGTTCTCTTTTTTATAGATATGAGATACAGAAAAGGTGAATAAATTTTTCATAATCATTTTTCCATTGTTTTGTATTTAGAAAAAAGTGGAGCCATTTGCCAGTGTTATTAGGTTGCCATACCCATTTGCTTCAGAAGTCAATAAAGTTGCTGTATTTACAGGGGTGAGTAATCTTTTTCAATGTTTTATATTGTTTAATTTAATATAACACATTAATCAATGGTTAGAGTAACTGAATGAGTTAGAGAAAATTCTAGCGTTCACCTAGTCTTATTTTCCCCATTTGAAGCTTAAAGCAGGAAGATGACCCATTTGAGGTTATGTCATTGGTATGAGGAAAAGCTAACTTAGAATGTTACCTTCATCATTATTAGTCTACCACATTGTGTTTCTCACAAGAAACGGAAGAAAAGTATAGAATTTATCCTACTAGCTCCTGCTTCCTACTCAAACTCCTCATACAACAATAAGATTATTTTAAAGCAATGGGCCCACATAGTGCTGTGAAGACATGGAAACCACACTTTTAGAGAAATACCTAGTCTAGAAAGTGAAGAAAGACAAATACAGTAATAATAGCCTTTTGTAAATCTTTTTGTATTATAAACATTTATTTATAATGTGCTTATGAACTTGTTTTATAAAGTGTTTTGATTCTTCTTCATCTGTCTCACTTTAAAGAAAGAAATTCTTTACTTTTTTTTCCAGTAAAGTGAAGCATATGGTTGTTGGAATGCCACAAAACTTCAGTAACTAAGGCAGTGATACATTTTCACAGTAAAACCAAACAATATAAATGGAGCATAGAGAAAAGATAACTAATATTGTATATCTTTCTTTGAATTTTCAGACAGGCTAAATTTTGGTTGTGTCATTTATTAAATTAAAAAAACTTTTCCTCTTTATTGGTTTTATAAAATGTCTCCATTTAAGTTAGCAAAACTAAGTATTTTTAATCTTTTACTTTTGGAAGGTGTGGTATTTATGGCATTGGAGGCTTAGGTTGAACTAGTTGGTAGGTTCCTAATGCCTTACCTTTTGTATTTGCTCATGTTTGTTGCTCATTCACCAACAAGCTAAACTTGTTCTGGATATAATATTTCTGATTCATCTCATTGAATATTGATACACTTTCAATGATAAGTAAAATCCACAATTTTTATTTTTAACTGATATTATTCCTGACAAAATACTTGAAAGGAGAGTGAATTTGTTTAAAGATTGTTGTTGAAACTATTTTGGTAGAGTGCACCAGAGATTAAAATAGCAGAAGAAAATGGAGCTGCGTTTGCAGGAGGAGCTGATCTCATTCAGAAGGTACAGTGTTGTTTTCACATTCATTAGTTACAGAAATTATTCTGTTATCTTTGCCATCCATTTATTTATTACATGTGGAACATAGCCACTATATTCATATCGTTTGGTAAGTGGTTAGTAGAGCTTTATGGAACAGGGTAACAATTCCTATTCTTTTGAGTTTCAAAATCAAGCTAAGAAAAAACTGCACAGACATTCTGATATTACTTATGCTTGATTTATATTGTGATTGTTCTTTTTCTAGCTTCCTATATGTTTGTGAAAGTTTGGTGGGTAGACTGGAAAGGGCAATATGTATGACTCTACGTGGTTTTGAATGTGAGGTTTAAATGAAATCCGAAAGGCAGCAGAAGTGGGTATCTCCATTCATGTTTTGAAGATCAAATACTTGTTTTGCCTTTTTGGCGTGAAAAGTGTGATTAATTTTAGTAGATCACAAAGGATAGTATCTGACCTCTCTAATATGGTACTTGGGGTTACTCCTAACTTTTAACGCTCCATCCCTCCCCCGCTACCCCTCCGTTCAGAGTGACATCGGCTCAGCGTGGAGACCACAAATGATCATGTGGCCCGCCTTGAGGAAATAACAAAAAATGTGTGGAGCCTCTTCAAAACAAGAGGGTTTTTTTGTTTTCTTTTTGTTTTGTTTTGTTTTTAAATAAGTAGGAAGAAGAGGTATGTCTGTTGAATTTGGGGAGTTATTTTGCAAGTACAAATGATCTTCACATTCTCTAAAATTCCAAATTTAATCATTTAGGTAATGGAATATGTTTCTTTTTGTTTTTAGAACAGGGAAAATATGATTTAAAAATGTCTTTTGTCCCACATTCAGATTTTGATTTGGGGAAGTGTTAACCGGGCCTTCCTTTGGGATGTATAACAGTGATTGTAGTTTGTCTTTTTCTCTCCCAATAATACTATAAATTTGGTGTGGATTTTGGATTTTTAAGGGAAGTCTCCAGATTGATTTTTGGGAGCAGAACTAATGGGAAATAAGAAGAGATTATGCTTTCATACAGATTTTAGGTTAAGGAGAGTGGTATTCAGTTCTTACTGATGTATCATTAATTTTAATTGAATAAAATTATTAAAAATAATACCACAGATTCTTCAGAGTGTGAGAGTAGAGGTTGGTCTCTGGAGTTAGAGAACTGCCTTCCCTCTGTTTTCTTCCTGCAAGTGTTTAGAGTATCTTATAGGACTGTCATAGCAACAACAAAGCTTACATAGATACTTTGACTCTTTAAACGTTAAAAAGTTCACTTTCCAAGAGCATAATGATAAGAGAGCAGAAAGTGTTCTGTAGCATTATTTAAAACATATTTGAAAAAGTAACCCAAATAAGGAAACCAAGTACATTTGAAATTATTAGATAAATAAAATATTATAGGGACAGAATTTCTCTTTTGGTGCCTCAGTGATGATCTGTTATTACAGGGGAAAATGCCATCTATATAAGGCATCATAACCAGTACAATTTTGCATGTTATTCCCTGGTATCTTTTAAAGTGCATCTGTGTTATTTGTAGAAGGTATTCAGGTACAGAAGTAAATTCAGTACAGTTTTGTAAGTAGTATCTTGTCTGCAATTTGTGTTTACACATTCTTGTATTTTTTAACTAGTTTTAATACTGTTATTCTTAGCGCTTTTAATAGGTGAATGTAGAATAAATTTACTGAACTTTTAGTTGTTTCTTAGGTAAGACCTTATTTACTTACAAGATTTATTTTCCTTTATTTTGAAATATCACAAGTATGCTTGGTTCTGAGGAAATTTAAAAATAAATTTTGTTTTTACTTGTCTTTAAAGCATAATTTAATTCTATTTAATTTTGTATTCCGTGATGTATTAAGGTTAACTATAGCATAACTTTCAAACATAATTTTAAATTTAATTTACTTCAAAGAAACATGTTTTAGAATTAGTATTGGAAGTTCTTGGAGTAGAAATTTCACATACCATTCTTTGACAATTCAAAATTACATCTGCTTTAATAGTTCTAATGATGAGACCCCTGATTCTGGATCCACGCTGCCTGTGTTTAAGTTCTATATCTGCCCCTTATAAATGCACAGATTGACTCATCTTCCCTAAGTCTTCAATTTCTTTATTGAAATGTGTGGTCAGTATTAGTACTTGTAAGGTTATTGTAAAGACTGGATGAATTAAATTACGTTAAATAGTGAGCCAAATGCTTGGCATGTGATAAGTGCTTGTTTAATGTAATTATAATGTTACTGTTATTAAGAGGAACACAGTATGTTATTGAGAGAATAAAGAATTTATAAAAAGAAAGAACAATAACAGGAAGATAAACTTTCAGAGTCACAGCTTAATTTCGCAAGAGTTCAAGTCTTTAAGGTTCACTGTAATCCCAAACCATGGCTTTGAATGACATACGGTGGTGAGATTTCAAGCAAAAAGAATCAATGGTAAAAATACAAGGTCTGGCACAAATAATGGCCCCTTTTTTATTACATAAAAATCTTTTATTACAAAATCATAAGCATGTAATTCAGTAACATAACAATATCACACTCAAGCATACAGTATGATACTTTAGGTGAAATGTTTAAATTGCTGCCCATCTCATCGAGATAATCACGTACCTTACCAACTACACTGAATGGCGTTTATTCTGCGGGAAGCTGTATTTATTGCCTAGGCAGTATTGTTCTAAAAAGTTACTTAATTTTATAATAAACTAAATTTTTAAATAGAATATATTGTAGTAGTCTAATAATTATTACGGGTACCTGCCTAAATTAATTTATAATGCCTTTCAAAATTGATATTTCTTGTTCTTGGAATGGAATTAGGATATGGAAAATAAACTATAAATGAGCTTGTTTTTGACAGTCCTACTCTTGTATTTTTAGTTATTGGAGGCAAAGAGAATTTTAATTTCAATTCTTTGTGAAAATAATTACAGATTCAGTTCTCTTGATCCCCTAACTTTAAGAAGGGAGTGTAGTTGCTAGTGATTTGGCAGCTAGTGGTTATTAATGTTACATGTGATCTACTGCAAAATTTTCAGTATGTTTCTTCAATTTTAATGGACATATGAATTCAGCTTTGGGACATTATGAGCCAGATACACTGCTACAGTGCTATATGCTAGCTTCTTAACATGTTTACCTAACAAACCCTCATGAAAGAATTAAATTTACTAAATATATACATTTTTAAATGGAAGTGGCTGTTTTTAAAAGAAAAGTCAGAAAATGTTTTGCTTCTAATGGTTTTCATAATTGGTAAATGTAATCATATGATCCTTATGTTCGAAGGAAAAATTGTAAAACTGAACTTCCAAAAAAAAAGGAAAATCGTGCTTAATGTCTTTTTTCTAAATTATAAGGGAAATGATTGCATTATACTTTATTTTCAGAAGGATAAAGTATTTCTTAAAATATAAGATCATCTTTTTTTTTTTCCTGATTTTTAGATTTTGGATGATGAAATTCAATCAGACTTTTATGTAGCTGTTCCAGAAATAATGCCTGAGCTTAATCCTTTAAGGAAGAAACTGAAGAAAAGATTTCCAAAGCTTACTCGAAGTAAGGGAGAATTGTTTTTATTTTAATATGCTATCAACAACTTTCTAATATATGTTTAGTTACAAAACAAAATTGTTAATATATATGTAAAGAATATGTCCTGGTATTTGAGTTTTGTGTTATATAAGAACATGAAGATTTGATTTTTTTTTTGTCCCTTTGGCATTGATATTGGTAATCTATTATAATTTGAAAACCTAATTGCTATATGGTACTTTAAATTTAAGTTATATTCTAGCTTGAAATTAATTGAATGTACTTCCAACTAGGTATGTTATCACACTGATTTTTATCTCTTTATCAATATAATATGTATGCTAATTTATTAGCTTTCTCCATATGTATGAATATTTACAATTCACGTGCATGACTCTGCAGATTTTTCACTTACGGATATTTCTCTCTTACAAAATCTAGTGAGAGAGGTAAGATTGCTACATAACTAGCCATGTTATAAAGTATGAAGTATTAAATGATAAATTCATGATGTGTTTTAGGTGTTCAGTAGAAGAGGAGTTTACCCATAAGTGGGGAAATTAGAGGAGGCATCATTAAGGGGGTGGCATTTAAACTGGCCTTGATAATTGGATGGGTAGATTAAGGGGAATATTATTTTAGGTAGAAAGAATCTATTAATCATAGACACTGAGGTAAATCAGAAATTATAGTCCATGCACAAGAAATATCAATTAGTTTTTTTTGGTTATATTGAAAGGTACCTCTACATTGATAAGAAAGAGAATAATGGCATATTGTGTTGGAAAGATAAATTGGTGTCATATTGAGAAGGAATTGGAATAAAATCCTAATAAGCTTAGACTTCTTTTTTTGTATTCAGCAAGAATCCTCTAGAAGCTTTCAAGGTGGGGAGTTCTTTAGAAGTTTAATCCTGCAAGAGTTCATAAGATGTATTAACATCAATCAAAACTAGAAGCAGGGAGACCAGTTTGGGTGCAATTACCAGAGACTAATATGGGTAATGTTTAAACTAAAGTCTTCACAATGAGACTGGAATGAAGAGGACAGATGTCAAAGATGTTAGGACTTTGCACTAAGTAGTGAGGAATGGACAGGTTGAGAGACAGAAAGGGAAAAGTCAATGATGCTGAAATTTTTTTTTTATGTGGTACTGGATATCTGCTGTAAATAGGTGTTATTTCAAATAACATTTTATAGTGTAAACAGAACACGTAATTTAAAATTGTTTTAGTGGATTGGGCTTCACATTTCAACTCTACTTGAGCTGAAAAATCCTGCTAAAATTCTTCATATGTGGTAGCCGCTAATACTAACCTGAATTATAGATTATGTTCTGTACTTTAAGCAATTTCTTGCATACTTTCCAATTTTTTTGGTGTTGCAGGGTTTTATTTGCTTGTTTTTGATAGCCTGCATTGAGTAACACATCTTTATTAGATATTGGACTGAGGTTTGGCACTTTTTATTAGGGATTTTCATTACAATCGTGTTTGTTGTCATGGAATCAGACTTCATATTCTTTTCTAAGACAGACCTGAAATTGAACATTATTTTAAACATTAAACAGGAATTACAGTTCAACTTGATGAAAATATTTTTCATAATTTTTTCTAATTCAAGCACAACAAAGCCAAACAATACTAAATGTAGTCAATTAAAACTGAAACTGTATATATAGTGAATGTGTTTATTCAGCTAGCTCCTTGCTTTGCACTGTGAACTGGTTTTTCACAGAAGTTAATTTTGTCACCTTCGCTCCTTTATTCATTCTCTGAATAACCCTTTAGGCCTTTAAGTTTTTATTTTTAGCCTTGACGGTTTTTTTAAAGGATGAGTTTCATCACAAAATTTGGCACTGTTGCTTTTAGTCTAAAAGGTTTTCAAATAACTTCATTTCAAGTAAGAAAAGTTTCCCTTCAAAATGCCTATTTTTATTAACAGGCTTTATTTTTACTTTCATAATGAATCATAGTTTCTGTACACCAGGATCAAGTTACCTACGGATATGTCCACCCTTTTTTGCTTAACAAAGCATCTTGAAAAAGCAGACCTTTCTCTTTCTCTTTCTTTTCACCGTCGTATGATCTGTTTAACAGCATTGGCAAAACATTTGTGTTCTTTAAACATGAAGACAAATGATTAACCTGTCAAAAATGTTAAAACAGAATACACCAGATGTGCATTAGAACAAATGAAGCTTGCATTATGCATTTTCAGAGCGTTTTCAGATTCTTGTTTAGGAACATTTGATTCCCCTTATATCCAACAAAAGACTTTAGGGTAAAATAGAAATTACATTTTGAGCAAATGGATGAAATTAAAAAACAAACAAGCCCCTACAGCTAAGCTCATTAGTTTCCCATTTTGTCCTACATTTTGCTGTACTAATGGGAGTGGGTGCAACCATCTTGGCTGGATTGAATGTTCATATTTTGCATCATGTTTAATGCAGCTTTATTTGTTTTATTTTTTATTTTAATTGCTTATGTAACTGTAGGCAAGTTCTCTATTTTTCAAGTGCACATTTGGCTTGTTTTCTAAGTATTTCTTTTTTACTTCAGAAAAAAAGACGTTTAAAACTTGCTGTTTAAAATTTCTCGGAAGAAAATGGGTTTACTTTGCTTGTAAACTTGCTTCCCCCAGCCTCCACAATATAAATGCTCTCCGAAGTTTTTTTTCATCTCTAATTTAGATATGTTTTGTTGATATTTTTGATATTTTTATTCCTAATTTTCTGTATTATTTAGAATTTACTTAAAAAATACTGGTGTGAAAAATACCTTGATTTAATGGAATCAGTTTTCCATCACACATAGTAAAAACCATGGTAGCATATATGGAAACAATTGAATTCTTTTAAACTGCACTAAGTTTTTGGCAGCTATTTGGGAAAGGGACATGATTAAAAAATTGGACCTACTTCCCCTGCCAGGCGGCTCCGTTGGTTGGAGCGTGGAGCATCGTCCCCTACGTCAGAAGGTTCCAGGTTCCGTCTCTCGTCAGGGCACAGTCCTAGGTTGTGGGTTGGATCCCCAGTCCCAGCATGTACGGAAGGCAACCAGTTGATGTTTCTTTCATGGTGATGTTTACCTCTCTTGCCCTCCCTCTCTAAAATCAATAAACGTATCCTCGGGTGAGGATTTAAAAAAAAAATTGGACCCACTAATGTGTATTTCTCTTCATATATAGCTCTTAGAATTGAATGTCCGTGCTCCAGTTGGATCTTGTCAAAAGGATATACCAGCAGACTTGTCCAAAGATTATTCACATCTACTGAGTAGGGGACTGCTTTTTGTAAGGAAGTTGGTGTTGTGTCATATTTAAGAGTAATGGATGTAAAATTATTGAAATCTAATATGAAGTGTTTTTAGCTTATAAACTGACATGGTATTGCTTGCACTATTGACACAGTCAGAACTCTTTGGTTATATGAAGAAAAATACTGAAAAAGGAATTTTGACAGACTAATCAATTAGAAATTTTTCTAAATTTTCCCCCCTTGTGTATTAGTTTAAAAAATATTTATGTGTGAAAGATTCCAGTGATGATTAGGTATGGTTATAATTATAATAGATGAATTATTGGTGTATGACAGCTGGTTCTATACTCTGATTTCTTTTACTGCATTCCCCTTGCCCTTCCTCATATACACTAAATGTTCTCCCTTCACAGGTCTTTGGACTTATTGTCCCTTCTGTGTGTAATGTTGTTTGCTTATTTTCCTGGCTCATTTTCTCATTCAAATATAATCTAAACAAAAAGGCCTTCCATGACCATCTTATATAAAATATCACCTGTCACTTCCTATTACTACTGGTGGATTTGTAATTTTCTGTTTTTGTATTCTTTTTGGGACTGACTTCTGGCTTCTTACTTTTTTTTTTTTAATTTTAATTTGTGGGTGTTGTTCCTCACAGGAGAGTAAGGCCATTTTTTGGTTTTGTCCACTACTGTATTGCTATGGGCTAGAGTAGTACCTGACACATAGTAGGTGCACAACAAATACTTGTACAGTGCTTGAACGTTAGTGCAGCATTCAGTTGTCGGAAGATACAGATTAAATACTGCAACTGAAGAATAGATAATCTACAATTTATAGGGGTTTTTTGGATTAGAATAATTGCATTTATAGTTACTGAGTATCTGCAGTGGGCCAGGCCTGGAGTGTGATAGCTGTGAAAAAGACAGACAAGGTCCTCACTGTCTTGGAGTTGAGAGTTTTGTTTTCTGCAGTATATAAACTAGCTCAACTGAGCATTTAATCATGCTCAGATTTCTCTAGTTAGACAAATAAACTGAAAACAAAACACATTCCCCCAAAACTTTCATTTGATTCAGCCATCCTTTCTAGCTACAACCTTAGTCTTTTTTGATGTTTCACACAAGTTTTTCCAAACAAATTGTTTTTAGTGGTTGGCTGCCCCCATTTCCTTATCAAGTGTTACTCTTCCTTTTATCTTTATCCTGCTGCATTCAGCTAAAATGTGGCTCTCAGTATTCATCATGGATATTTCTTTTGCCACATTTAACAATCTGGTTGTAGTTTTTTTCCCTTTCTTGAAACTTTCTTTTATACTATATAATCTTAACTTACCTCCTTTCTCACTAGCTATTTCTTCTTCATCTTCTCTAGCTTCTGTTATTCTACTTGCTTCTTCCTGTAATATTCCCGGGAAAAGAAGAAAAGAAAAAGTACACCAGAGTCAACTACCTGACAGTATAGTTGTAGTTTGAATGACTGTTATGTTCATTATGGAAATCAAATGGAGGTAATTAGATGAAGAGAAAGGGAAGGGAGTAAGGACAAGATAAATAGTAGAAGAACATAAAAGTCCAGAGAAAAGAGGAGGGGAGAGCAATTACATAGGACTAAGGGATAGCAAAGACCTAGGAATAACAGTGAAGATTTAACATTGGGTTATATTGAAAAACAGAATAGAATAGTGCTTAACATAAAGTCTCTTTCAGACTTGACTTTGTCACTTACTGTGACCTTGAACTAATTTTTTAAAACATTTTTTGTGCCTCTGTTTATTCATCTACAAAATGGGTTTCATGTTCTCAGTGTTTTGTTATAATATATGCAAGAGCTTAGCACAAGCTGGGTGTATAGTATGTTTATAATATATATGCACCTCTGTTATTATTGACTCCCTACAAGTCCTACAGTAGATCTTCACGCTCCATAATTACTTTAGGAGAACTCATTCTTTTTCATGTCTTCAAATATCATTTTTACCTTCATAACTCGTTATTGAGTAAACATAATTGTTGAGTGCCTGTTATGTGCCAGGTAGGACAGTTAGTACTGCAGATTGAAGGATGAAAAGGTAGTTTCCATCTTTAAGGAGTAAAAATTGAACAGTGAGAGAAATGAGAACATAAGTGCTACACTAAAATGCAGAAAGTGTGCCAGTGGGAAAGGTACAAAGTGCTTAGAGGAATGAGGGACTACTTTGTAGAATCAGATTATATAAAGAAGGTACCAGCACCGTTGAGCACTTAAGCATGAATAGGCATTTTCTTTCCTAACCTGCATGGGGAGAACATTGCAGTTAGAGGAAATGGCTTATACTAATGCACAAAAGTATGAGTGAGCCCATTACGTTCAGTAAACTGTAAGTAGCTTTCTATCGTTTGGTACATGAAGTGTTACCGGGTAGTGCTGGTCGGTGAGGTTAGACAGTGATAGGCAGTGGACCACATCGCGGAGGGCTTTGTCTGCCATGCCATGGAGATTATATTTTATCTTCTATGCTGATAGGAGCCATTAAAAAATATTGCTTGGAAGAATGATATAAGATTTGCTTATCAGAATGATTGTGTGTGGGGGCTGTGTGAGTGATAAAGTGGCGATTTGAGGATGATGAAACATTAAGAGCAGAGACCAGTGAGGAGGCCACTGCCTTCGGCTAGGTGAGAGATGGGTAAGGACAAAATCTGCACAGTGGCGTGAGGTCAGAGAAGAGGAAGGCTGTGTGGGATATGGAGGAGACAGAATTAACAATAGTTACTGATTAGATGTGGAGGTAAGGGAAAGGGAGGAATCTAGAATGATTCCCTAATTTCTGTCTTGTGTAGCCCAGTGACTATTTTAAAGATAGATATATAGGAGATGAAGAAGTTTTGGGCATAATTGTAGCAAGAGGTGAGGTAGGGGGAGTGGAGATAGCCTGGCACAAATGTACTTGTTTTCTTGGAAGTCAGCATTAAGATGAAATAGGTTGTATTAAATAAAGATGTACCTTTTAATCTCTAGGGCAAGTCGAAAACACAAAAAGAGACGTATCTTTAAACTAACTAGAGGAATAAAAATGATACACTAAAAACTTTTTGTTTAAAACAAAAAGAAGGCAGTAAAGGAAGGACAGAGAAACAAATGAGATGAGACAAATAGCACATTAAAACAAAGACCTAAATCCAGGCATATACATAGTTAGGTTAATTGGAAATGGAATACACACTTCAACCAAAAGGCAGAGATTAGAAGATGACAAATAAGCAATTCAATTACAAGTTGCCTATAGGAGACGCACTTTATATTCAAATACAAATAGGCTGAAAGTAAAATATACAGTAATAAAAGGTATGTGATTGGTGTCTTTCTCTTGATAATAGAGTCAGGTACTAAGTGTCTAACTGATGGACAGGGAGCATATACAGTATGGATACGTTGGACAAAAGGGTGATTCATGTCCCCAGTGGGACATAGTGGATGGTGTGAGAGTTACTCACACTGCTCAGAACAGCACACAATTTAAAATTTATGAATTATTTCTGGAATTTTCCATTTAATATTTTTGGACCACAGTTGACCATGGGTAACTGAAACCATGGAAAGCTAAATGGTGGAAATGGGAGACCACTGTATTAACATCTTAATGCTTACTGTTAGACTATCTGTCATACTGTTTAGTATTCAGTTGTGTCACAATGTAATGCTAAAAAGACTTTGTATTTTTCAGTAGTGGTTGCTTCTGCACGTGCTTTTCTCCTAACTAAATTTAAAGCTCCTTGTGGGTAAAGTGTTCCTGAGCCATACGGAACAGCTCAGATGATCCTTAAAAGTAAAATACGCTGAAGATGTAATATGCTTTCTACATAATGAGATTTTTAAAAAATTTTTATTGAATTTATTGGCGTGACATTGGTTAATAAAATTATTTAAGTTCCAGGTATACAATTCTATAATACATCATCTGTATATTGGATTGTGTGTTCACCACCCACAATCTAGTCTCCTGTCACCATTTATCCCCAAACTCTTCTACCTCCTCCTACCTCCTCTTTTCCTCTGGTGATCACCATACTGTTGTCTGTGTCTATGAGTTTTGTTTTGTTTTGTTTTGTTTTTGTTTAAACCCTTTACCTTTTTCACCCAGCCCCGCAACCCCTCTCCCCTTTAACAGCTGTCAGTCTATCTTCTGTATCTGTGAGTGTGTTTCTATTTTGTTTGGTAGTTTATTTTGTTCATTAGATTCCACATATAAGTGAAATCATATGGTATTTGTCTTTCTCTGACTGGCTTATTTCACTTAAACATCACACTCTCCAGGTACATCCATGCTGTCAAAAATGATAGGATTTTCTCCTTTTTGATGACCAAGTAGTATTCCATTGTGTAAATGTACCACAGTTGTTTTTTTTGTTTTTTGTTTTTGCTAGCACATCAAAGCATATTTCTTTTACTAAAAAATTGACAGTATGTACATTATTTACAAAAAGTAGAAAAATCAAGTTAAAATTATGTGTGTGAGAGAAAGAGTAAAGCTGGTGGATGGCACTAGGGCAGGTACAAAACAGTTCCACGGGAGCTAAAAAGGACTAATTTGAACTTGTTGAGGTTGATAACCAGCAGAGAGAGTAAAAGGGAGGCAGCAAGGGATTTGTCAGGAATCCAGTCCACAAGATGATCAATCCCAGAGCCAACCTGCAGGTCCCAGATAAAATCTAATGGATGCTCTAGATGTGCTCGAGTGACCAGGAAAAAAAAAATCAAATCCAGTTTTGTTCCCCTATTTGGGGGAGAGAAGAGGAGCAGTGACCAGGAGTTACAACCCATCTGGGCGTTGCATCCTTCTCCGGTCTGTTTGTCAATGTTTTTTTATCTACCCATCTACTGATGGGCACTAGGGCTGCTTCCAAATCTTGGCTATTGTAAATAACATTGCAGTGAACATAGAGGTGCATATATTCTTTTGAATCAGTGTTTTAGGTTTCTTTGACTATAATTCCCAAAAGTGGAATTGCTGGGTCATAAAGTAGTTCCATTTTTAATTTTTTGAGGAAACTTCATACTATTTTCCACAGTGGCTGCACCAATCTGCCTTCCTACCAACAGTGTCAAAGGTTCCCTTTTCTCTGCAACTTCACCAATATTTGTTGTTTGTTGATTTGTTTATGATAGCCATTCTGACAGGTGTGAGATGATATCTCATTGTAGTTTTGATTTTCATTTCTCTGATGATTAGTGACGTTGAGTATCTTTTTATATGTCTGTTGGTTGTCTGTATGTCCTCTTTGGAGAAGTGTCTATTTAGGTCGTTGGCCCATTTTTTTTAATTGGATTTTTTTTTGGTGTTCAGTTACATAAATTCTTTATAAATTTCGGATATTGATTTATCATAAGAAGAATTGCTGGAAGCACTGTGGGAGTGGTGTGTCTTTAGTAGCACAGTTTTTATTCTATTTCTTCTCCCTCAAATATGTGAATACATTTTCTATGTACAAAATAAAAAATTTTCAAGTTATTTATGGTATTATGGAATAATTAAAAATATGTATTTTTATGTATTAAATTTGAGTTCAAATTTTAATGACTAAATATTAGGAAAATTAGCTTATATTTGGAGTCTCCTATGTGATCCTTTGAAAATTCTTAGTTTTTGCCTTGACTCCAATTCTCTCCTTTCTATATTTAATTGCATTTTTTAATTTACTTTAATGGAGGACAAGGCAACATTAGAATCCAATAAATTAAGTTCTAATTCTTAACTCTTTCCATGCCATCTTTTGTACAGTAATGAGCTGTATCATTCCTGTGATATTATATGCACTGCTAAATGTTGCCACTTTTCCTAGTTCTTTGCCGCCTTAATGGTAAGGCAGATCAGGTGAATTTTACATAAAGGTAGATGAATGTTCTTAAAAGATTCCAAGACTCCACTGTTACCTTTTATAATGGATTATTTTACAGATTTTAATTTTTTATCAGTGTTTCTAAAGTTGATAAGCTGCATTTTGCATGTATTTATTTATTAATTATCTATTACTGTGCAACAGTATTACCACTAATTTAGTAGCTTAAAACCATACAAGGTCTCATAAAGCTCCAGTAATGATGTAGATTAGGTCTGTAGACTTGACTGGGGAAGGATTCACTTCGAGATTTATGGGGCCTTTTGGCAGAATTCAGTTCCTTGCAGGCTGCTTGACTGAGGACCTCAGTTTCTTACCCTGTGGCTTTCTTCATATAAATCTCATAACATTGTATCTAGCTTCTTCACAGCCAGTAGGAAGAGAATCTCTTCCAAAATAGGCATTTCCTCTAGTTATATGTAATGTGATCATGTACACATAATCATCCTGTTGGTTAGAGCAAGTTGTAAGTTCCATCCACACTGATGGGGAGGAAGGGCGTTACACAAGGATATGAACACCAGGAAATGGGGCCACTGAAGTATCTCTGCCACAACTTATTTACTCTATCTTAGCATGAGATTAGTGCTTTTCTTATTCAGTAAGTTTTGCTACTTGTTTAGATGGAGTGATAACTTTGGGTTTCTTATTTTTCTAACCAGATTCCATTGGCCGGGACATCCCCAAAATGCTTGAGTTATTTAAAACTGGACATGAAATTAAGGTAGATGAAGAAAGGGAGAACTTTCTCAAGACCAAAATAGCAACAGTAAGTTACAGTGGAAATTATTCAATAACCCTCTCTTTTTTTTGCTTAAGTGATTCAATAATAATTTATAATATAATATACCAGTCCTTTGAACTTGTTGTTTTCACTAGCATTAGGAGTGGCACTATATACACGCACAGATTTTTTTTTTATTGATTGAACTTATACATTTTAATGGTACTATAGAATTTTTCTTTTGAGTTGTATGCCACCCACTGACATTTACTTGTACTTGGCCTTATTTGATTATTCTATGTATGTCATTTTGGTTCTCTAATATTTTAAGCTTATTGAAAGTAGGGTATAGATCTTATGTATGTCCTGTAGAACTTTGCATAATACTGAGCCCATAGTAGGGATTTAATGCTACTTTAATGGAATTGAGTAATTCACTTTATTTGTATGAATTACTTCTTGTTTAAAAAATTATTTTTTTGTTGTTCAAGTACAGTTGTTTCCATCCCCCCCCCCCCATTCCCCCGCTCACCCATTCTCATTTATGAATTACTTCTGATTATCCCTGCATGGGTTTTAAAAATGCTTTGCCTATATACAGAAGGTACTAGAAATCAATTTCTAAAGCCACTTTTAGGACACTAATATAGACCTGTCAAATTTTTATAGAATTGTGTTTTTAAATGCATAGATTTTGCTAGTATCTTTTTTATACTGAAGAATCTCTAAAATACCTATTAATGTACATAATTTTGTTCCTGTGCAATAGCTGTAGGGATAATAGTAATATTGATAGTGAAACTTAAATTGTGTACCAACTATCAGGCACTATTTTAAACACTTTTTTAATCCTCAGATATATGAGAGGTAAATTATTATCCCTGTTTTATAGAATAAGATGACAGCCCAGAGAGGTTAAATACTTTCTTCAAGGTCTCATAGCTAGTATGGGGCAGAGGTATTTGAACCTTGGCAGTATCCTCAACAACCCAGACTCTTCACCCCATTCCATCCAGCCTCACGGCTGGAATTATTTGAATAGCTGTATTCCTCTTCCCATCCTCCAAAGAGGGATTCTGCATTATAGCCAACAGGGAGTAGTAGTCCAGACTAATTGAGCTGTGCCCACTGTAGATCGTGAGAAATTTAAAAAAGGTGTTCAACTAGTTTTATGGAAGGAAAACTTAACTTTAAAAAGGGGTGAGGCAGGTTTAATCCAGTCAGGGACTGGAAAACTGCTCATTGCCATCATTACCATCAAAGCTCAGCTCCAGTTTATTTGGCATTGAGCTCTGCTGGAATTCGATGTAGGAATTGGCTTGTCCCCAAAAGGCCCTTGGCAGTCCTTCTTGTTTCTTAGGGAAGACAACATTGTAATGTTAAAAAAAAAAATTAAAAACCAAATACAAACTTTAAGAGAATATTCTGGAGCTTTAGAGATACAGGTTTGAATCCCACTTCTGCTGCTTAGGGAATGGCAGACTGTAAACAAGTTTCCTCATGTTGTGTCTCAGATTCCCTCATCTGTAAAAGTTATGTGGCAATATCTGTTTCACAATGTGGTTTTAAAGATTAAATAAAATTTTTAAATGGCAGTAGCTATTGTCATTACTGTTTTGGTTGGACTTTGGGGACCTTAGAATATCTTTATAAGACTCTTTATAGCTAGATTTTTTTCTTTTTTTAAGTAATATTTTTATTACATTCAGTAATTAGTAGTTTACGTAGATCCTGACTCAGAGTATACGAAACAATGACATCTTATTCATTCTTTTCAACAAATACCATGGTGATTAAGACGTGAGCTGCAGATCAGACTGACTGCATCTTTTAGAGATATAGTGCTTTTTCATAATTAAAAAGAAATTATTTTGCGTGTTTAAAGAGAATTGTTTTGAATACTACTTAAATATTGTAGTGTGGAATTTGGATTCATACTGTCTGATTCAAAGCCTGGTTCTTGATTAGCCACCTTGGTCCCTGAACTTTGGTTTTCCCCCACGTGAAATAAGGAAGGAGTAGGTAGGAAGGAGTAGATAAAATGAACTAATAACCATTAAAGACTTCTACTTTGGGTTGAAATGGAGTAACAGGGACCTGATTTACCCTCCTTCTAAAACAATTAACATTACTTTTTACCAAAGACAGACCAAAAAAAGACAGTCTAATATCATTCATGAATATAGATGTTAAAATTATAAACTCAGTAATAATACAGCCCCTTTTTAAAAATCAGCAAAAGATTATAATACACCTCACAAAGGTGTGACAAACACATTGGAAGATGCTCAACATTATTAATCATTAATAAAATACAAATTGAAACCACAATGACATATCACTATGTATCCATTGGAAGAACTGAAATAAAAAGACTGACTATACCAAGTGTTCGTGAAGATGTTGGGAGACTGGGATGCTCAGACACTGATGTGGGAACGTAAAGTGATCCCACCACCTCTTCAGTAAACAGCTGGGCAGAGTAAGTTTTACGTCCACCTCTTATGTGACTTCACCATTCTACTTTTAGATGTTTACTCAGGAAAGATGAAAACGTATCTCTATACAAAGACTTGTAAACAAGTGTTTATATCAGATTTATTTGTAACAGCTAAAAATTGGAAACATTCCACATTCCAGTGACAGATGAATGTATAGACAAGCTTTGTTATATCTCTGTAATAGAATATTCTTTAATAATAAAAAGAAACTGATACATGCTTAATATGGATGCATTTTAAAATAATTATGCTGAGTGAAAGAAACCAGGCAAAAAGGAGTACATACTGTATGATTCTCTTTACGTAAAATTCTGGCAAATGCAAAATAATGTATAGTGACGGAAAGCAGATCAGTAGTTGCCTTGGGAACAAGGGTGGGAAGGAGGGATTACAAAGTAGCACAAGGAATTTTGAGGATGATTGATATGTTTATTATCCTGACTGGTAATAGTTTCTTTAGTGTGTACATACGTCAAAACTTAATAAATTGATACTTTAAGGATGTGCAGCAGATCCTGTGGGATACTATTTAGCAATAAATGGGAACAAACTGTGGATATATGTTACATTATGGATGAACCTCAAAAACATGCTTAGTGAAAGAACTCAGGCACAGAAATCACATACTGTATGATGGTATATATGAAATATCTGGAAAAGATAATTTATTTTGAAAGACTAAAAGTAGATTAGTGGTTACCTGGGGTAGGGGTGGGAATAAATAGGCATTAATAGTAAATGTGCGTAAGGGATCATACTGGGTTAATGAAGATGTTTTAGAACTGGTTGATGGTTCTCTGGCCAGGTAGTTCATTTGGTTAGAGCATCGTCCCAATATGGCAAAGTTGCGGGTTTGATTCCTGCTCAGAGCACATACAAGAATCATCCAATGAATGCACAAATAAAGGGAACAGTAATCAATATTTCTTTCTCATTCTCTCGCTCTCTCTCTCTGTCTCCCTCTCTGTTCCTCTTTCTTTAAATATCAATAAAGACATTAAAAAATTAAAAAAACTGGTTGATGGTTGCCCAACTTGTTAAACTTGTTTAAAAATAATTGGATTGTAAATTAGAAAATGGTGAATTATATGAAATGCAAAGTATGCCTCAATAAAATTATTAAGAACATGCAGTGAGTCAGAAATACCTCAATAAAATTGTTTAAAAAGGAATAAAAAGTCTGTTTACCATTGTATGTAATACAGTATAATTATTCCATAGAAATATTTGTGGTAATCATCAGAGATAACAGATTTTTTTGTAAATCTCAAAGCAAAATAATATAGCTTCCTTAGAAGTTCAAGATTTCTGTGAGTGATGATATTCTTACTATATTTGCCACCTGTATAATATTAGACTTTGATTTAGGATGAATGTGCAGATGAAAGGGCACTGACAGCATCTCAGTCCTCATTTGGGGAGGGTCCTCCTTATTTTAGATAAAAGGAGAGTATCAAGATCAGGGTCAAGAAACTGTAGACCATGGGCCAGATCTAATGGTGGCCCATTTTTAATGCCATCTCTGAGCTAAAAATGGTCTTTGTTTTGTTTTGCTTTTTACAACTATTTAAAACTGTAAAGAATTTGCTACAGAGATCACACAAGGCCCACAAAGCTTAAAGTATTTAATATTTGGCTTTTTTTAAGGGAAAAGGTTTGCTGACCCCTAATCTAGAAAGAGGGATATGGGGAGAGTGAAGTGTATCAGTTTTCTATTTTTATTTGCCTGTACAAGAGAGACTATCTTAACTTTAATTATACCATCTTGATGTCCCGTGTTACGGTTCTGCAAAGAGTCTGTGCTGCCACATTGCTTCATGATCCAGTGCTACCATTAATGTAATGTGAAATTGATCTTGAGTATTTTAAGCTTGTTTTCCTTCTGTGTCAAAGTCATAAATACAATTAGTTGAATGGCCTATTTTTTAGTTATGTGACTTGAGGATAATATCTTGGGTATGAGAACTCAGCCACTTAGGACGCCTTTGTATATCAGAACTGTGCTAATGTGTTGTAGCCAGCCAGTATCTAAGATTTGTGAGTAGTACTTGCAGGTAAATTGGTTTTGTTCTTTTCTGCTCCTGGTACCTATAATTTACATATTCATGAAATTGTTTATGTCTATATGCTATCAGATCAAATGTTCATATTAGTGAAAATGTCATTCAGATGATGTGTTGGACATCATGCAAATAGGACTGTTTATTATTGGAATATTTATATTTTATTTTTCAATCATTTATATTGCTATCATGTAGTTGCCATTTATTTTCTCTCAGCATGAAGAATGAATTGATTGTGATAAATGTAAGCTGCTAAATGGTCAAATTTAAGGGAAAGATCTTAAAGCATAAAACTAAAAATAAAGGTTTATAGGAGTGAAGAAATCCCTTTCTACAACTGGACCCTAGCTGGTTTTGTTTTTGCTGTTGTTTAATGTTATGACTCTTTCCGTGAAATAGAAATGAAACTAAGGCAGATTCTCAAAAAAAAAAAAAAAAAAAAAAAGGACTTGAGGCATAAAATGTACCTGTCCAGTATATA